GTCCCTTTAACTTAGCAGCGCATGTAACTGTGCTGTTTAACCAACTCTCATTGGTTGTTCTGCTTTAAGTTCCCCCTCTCCCACCTGTGAATGGATGAAGGACTGAATGTAAAGTGCTTTAGTCAAATCTCCTGAGTAAAATGCAGCATTGAGATTTAACAGGACAGGTACAGGTTTTTATCATCTCAGCCGCTCACACCCGCAGGAGTATGAGCTGTGTAGGCGCGGCTCTCCTCCGAGGAATCTTCGGGAATTTCGGGGGGGGGAATAATATATATATATATATATATATATATATATATATATATATATATATATATATATATATAATTTATTCAGTTCTGGGCTGTTTCCCACGTAGTTCTAACAATTGAGAGAAAAATGCTGAGGGGCCAACAACTTCAAAGTAATAACTCAGGTTAAAGCAGGAAACTAAGCTGAACCATAACAAGGTGCCAGCAGCACCTCTAGAAGAATAGAAATGCTAGGCTAATGGGTGAGTTGATTTGGGTTTTTGTTCTTGTTGAGTGGAGTTTACATGGTAGCCTAGTCCTACAATCTTTTAAATACCACAAGCTGGTGGTGTACTATTCCCACCCAGATAGGGTATTCTATTTATTTATTTGTTATATTTAGTTTGGTCACTTTTTTGGTCACTTTAGTTTATTCTTTGTCAGTATTTAATAACATAACTCAGGTCTTTTAAGTTATTTTTCTTTAAAACAGTTATGTTATGGTTAAAAAGGTTGGTTAAATAAATATTTCATTGGAAGTCTGTGTTTGTGTTCTTTATTAAAATTAAATCATTTAGCAATATCATAAAAAGTCCAGGCAGAGCTGCACATAAAATATGGTTTCAAATCTTTTCAATAATTATCGATATCGATCAATATACAATATACCTGGTTCAGCTTATTTTCCTGCTTTAACCTGAGTTAGTACTTTGAAGTTGCTGGCCCCTCAGCATTTTTCTCTCAATTGTTAGAACTACGTGGGAAACTCGGAGGAGAGCCGCGTCGGGGCCTACACAGCTCGTACTCCTGCGGCTGTGAGCGGCTGAGATGATAAAAAAAAAAAAAAAAAGTTTGTTGTGTTATCAGACTTCGTTTTCACTGGTTCCCTACACATTTTACAGATGACTGTGGTTTGTTTTTTGTTCGACTTGCCATGACCGAAATACTGCCAAACTGGCGAAGTACAAAAACCCTTCTTTGGAACAATTTCCTCTGCCTCTCCTTGCTGCGACATCTTCATGTGCTATGTGTTGTGGTTTGAGAGGGCGGCGCTTTGTGACGGCGTGCCTGGGTCCGCGATTGTGATTGGTTGGGAGGAAGTAATGACTAGCATAAACCTACATGATAGGCTACAATGAGAAGGAAGGAAAACTGCGTTTTTTTTATCAAACTTTTATCGAGCCTATTTTTTTCTATTGCGCCACACGTCTATCAATCGATATATATCGTTATTGAATTATCGCCCAGCCCTAATATATATGTATATGTGTATATGTATATATATGTGTATATATATATATATATATATATACACTCACCTGTCCAACTAGTCGTTAACACTTAATTTCTAAGCAGCCAATCACATGGCGGCAACTCAGTGCATTTAGGCATGTAGACATGGTCAAGACAATCTCCTGCAGTTCAAAGCGAGCATCAGTATGGGGAAGAAAGGTGATTTGAGTGACTTTGAACGTGGCATGATTGTTGGTGCCAGAAGGGCTGGTCTGAGTATTTCAGAAACTGCTGATCTACTGGGATTTTCACGCACAACCATCTCTAGGGTTTACAGAGAATGGTCCGAAAAAGAAAAAACATCCAGTGAGCGGCAGTTCTGTGGGCGGAAATGGCTTGTTGGTGCCAGAGGTCAGAGGAGAATGGCCAGACTGGTTCGAGCTGATAGAAGGGCAACAGTGACTCAAATAACCACCCGTTACAACCAAGGTGGGCAGAAGAGCATCTCTGAACGCACAGTACGTCGAACTTTGAGGCAGATGGGCTACAGCAGCAGAAGACCACACCGGGTGCCACTCCTTTCAGCTAAGAACAGGAAACTGAGGCTTCAAATTGCACAAGATCATCGAAATTGGACAATAGAAGATTGGAAAAACGTTGCCTGGTCTGATGAGTCTCGATTTCTGCTGCGACATTCGGATGGTAGGGTCAGAATTTGGCGTCTACAACATGAAAGCATGGATCCATCCTGCCTTGTATCAACGGTTCAGGCTGGTGGTGGTGGTGTCATGGTGTGGTGAATATTTTCTTGGCACTGTTTGGGCCCCTTGGTACCAATTGAGCATTGTTGCAACGCCACAGCCTACCTGAGTATTGTTGCTGACCATGTCCATCCCTTTATGACCACAATGTACCCAACTTCTGATGGCTACTTTCAGCAGGATAATGCGCCATGTCATAAAGCTGGAATCATCTCAGACTGGTTTCTTGAACATGACAATGAGTTCACTGTACTCAAATGGCCTCCACAGTCACCAGATCTCAATCCAATAGAGCATCTTTGGGATGTGGTGGAACGGGAGATTCGCATCATGGATGTGCAGCCGACAAATCTGCGGCAACTGTGTGATGCCATCATGTCAATATGGACCAAACTCCCTGAGGAATGCTTCCAGCACCTTGTTGAATCTATGCCACGAAGAATTGAGGCAGTTCTGAAGGCAAAAGGGGGTCCAACCCGTTACTAGCATGGCCGGTGAGTGTGTGTATGTATATATATATATATATATATATATATATATATATTAGTGCTGTCAATCGATTAAATTTTTTTAATCGCGATTAATCGCATTTTAATCACAAATTTTTTTTCTGATTGAAAATCATTTAAATACTCTCGATGACATACAAAAAATACATACAGGCTAGGTTTGTGCCAATGTTCTTTTTTTTAAATGAAAACAGGTCACAGACACTGATTTATGCCATAGAAACATATGGCTGATGTAAAAGACAGTCTTTACAGTTAATACAGTCTTTTGAACAAAGACAAAAATTTTACCCTACTGCTATAAAATGTAGTAGAGTTAACAGTAGATGTCAATTAACCAAGATAATAATGAACAATTTTCAATCAATACATCAAAATCAATAGACCGATATCACTAGATGGAAGTAGTCTATGCTCTAGAAAGTTACTTTTCAGCCTCTTAACAAAAATGAGAACACACACCCACCCACCCACACACAGACACACACACACACGATTCTGACCTGTGGCGTACACAGACAGCAAGAGTGCCGTAGCAGATTCCATTTCACCTCAGTAATCTGTTTTCTCAGCGTATTTCAGGTTGCTATAGGCACCAGACACTCAACTTGTTTGTTGGTGGTGGGGCTTAAAGAAAAGGCACTAGCGCTACCCAGTGTATGAGCGTCTTTTTTCCTTGAAGAGCTCCGCTCTCGAAGCCTATGGAAAATGCATAGACTTGGAAAATTGTACCATAAAACCACATAGCGTTAATTCCACGTTAAAAAATTATCGCCATTAAAAATGGCGTCGCGTTAACGCGTTAATAACGCGATAATTTTGACAGCACTAATATATATATATATATATATATATATATATATATATATATATATATATATATATATATATATATATGTATATATGTATATATATATGTATATATATATATATATATATATATATATATATATATATATGTATATATATGTATATATATATATATATATATATATATGTATATATATATATATATATATATATATATGTATATGTGTATGTATGTATGAGAGGCATTGCTCTTATTGAAGAGGCATTAAAATTTTTTCTAAGAGCATTAAATTAGAGTTACTCATTTCTGAGTGATATGGCTGAATTAATTTGCTCTTCTGTGATGGGTAACCCAGACAAGAGTTACCAAATGAGTAAAAACTTGCCTTTTTTAACCTGTTCAGAAATGCAGAACCCATTTCTTGGACAATGTAATACAGCATTTCCATGTAAGGGACTGAAGGTGAGCACCTCATCATCCAGGCATTGTAGGATATATATGGTTTGCAGGACATCCTGCCACCAGTATGGTCTCAACATCAACTGTACTCAGTTCCTTTTATGGTTCAAAAATTTTTTACAGGAATAAAAAAAAAATAATACTCTTTCCCTGCTGATTGCTACATTTCAGCAAAAAATGAGGAAGCTTTTCCAGATAGCTTTATCATTTAGGCATGTTTTTTCTCGTACCATTATGCTTCTTTTTAATACGATAGAACAGAGAAATTACATTAAAAAATTATTTAAAATCTGCTCAGCCTCTGACACATTAATCTGGGGTATGTCTCCTCCAGGCAGAGGTGTACAGGAAGAGGCTAGAGGCTGTCTCATTACTTCCTCATTTGCCAGACAGTCACTGTGGTGTTGGATGTAAAAGCTTTATTTTCTTTAATAATTTTTTGTGGGGAACCAAATTTAGGCCAGAATTAATTTTATATCTTCAGGCTGCTTTACAGGATCCACTTGTTCCTCAAACTCAAGGAGAGAGTTTGGTGCTTTAATGTGAGGTGTCCTTTCTATAACCACCACCAATTAGAGTCCTGCAACGGGTCGGGTACCCGCGGGTCCCCGACGGGTCACCCGCTAAAATGCTCTTTTGCGGGTGAAAAATACATAAATAAAAATAAACGGGTCGGGGGTCGGGCGGATATTTTTTTAGTGCGGGCGAGTAGTTGGTGTTTTTTTTTTTTTATGCGTGTGTGTTGTTATGGACATCAGAAATGTTATATTAATCAGGCACTGGGGTCACCCTTGTTGTAGCTTAAAGCCCTGCCGGCAGTGTGGGCTTCCCTCCAAAAAGGCCACAGTCAGTGCATACACGTCTGCTGCAGGACTCTACCACCAATTGAAAGTCTTCCTGCTGTGTTTGTCTTTCCAGATCACCATCAGGATTATGTTGGAAAAGAGGAGGATTTCTCTGACCAGCAGCTCTATGAACAGGAAAGGAATTCCAGTTTGGACAAAGAGGAACCAGAACATCTGCAGATAAAAGAACAGCAGCAAGAACCAGAACATCCCAGGACAAAAGAGGAAACCATGGAGCTCCCCATTAGTGAGCACGAAGAGCAGCTTGTTCTGAAGCAGGAGGCTGAAGATAAAGGAGAGGAAACTTTTCCATGTTTGACATGTGGAGAAAACTTTCATATAAAAGAACATTTAATGGATCACATGAGAAATAACACAGGTAAGAAGATTCATGAATGTTGGTCCTGTGTAACAATGTTAGCAAAGAAATCTAAATTTGATCAGCACATCAGATTTTAAAGCCACCTACAAACCTCTTCAAAGCATTCCTGCATTATCCTTTGTCGGCATCATTTTCTCCGTCTTTCATCTTAATTAAAAAAGATTGTCTGCATGACCTCCCTCACTAAGAAATGGTCAATTCATGACACCTGATCACCAATCTCTTCATCTCGTAACACTGGTTCAGCAAAAAGCTAAAGGGCTATTCCATCTTTTTTTTTTTTTTTTTTTACAGCCTTAAGTGTCGTTAATCTGCTCTTCTTTAAAAACTAAATCAACCAGACACTTCAAACCTGGTTTATATTATTCCAAGATAAAAGCAGAATTTTTAAAACTCACTTTTGGTTTTCTGAAACTTCAAGAAACAGCCCGCCTGGCACGAGCCAGATTGATGCACGTTCAATGAAGTTCCTACACCGTATCAATTTTACAGAGTTAACTGATTGATCAAATTTCCACCAAATTCAGTAAAGGTGAAAACAAAAAAATCTTTTCCATCCACAAAGGCAGAAATCATGTTCTTTTGCTCCTTTTTCTAAAGAAATGGAGGGTATTCCAGCTAAAACATGCACAAACATTGTTTTTTTTCTTCAGGCTTCTGCCTCTGATTGACATGTTCTCATCATATACGTCTCTGCATTTCAAATTGACCAAAAGGAACAATTGGCTTCATCATTATTCTGTTGTCATCCTAAATGCTTTAGACTTAAAGTGTATCACAGTGATGCATGTTTGTCACAAGAATGTAGTGTGGACTAGTTTTTACTCTAGGTTTCAGAGTGAAGTAGAAACAAACCGAGGAGGGAACAAATTAACTTGTTCTTTGTGATTGAAGTCAACATTTCTTCTTGAGAAAAATGTTATAGAAAAAAGGTAATCTATGGTAACTTCACCCTGTTTTTGTTAAGATGTTTTGCATTAACCTTATTATGTCTTAAGAAGCAGTGCATTATGTATTTTACCATCCTTTTAAATCTTTCTCTACTTATTTTGTCTAAGAGGTTGAAATCTGAGAAGGTTTACAATCTAGCTCTGTACTGAGGTCAACAAAAGGATGATTTTAATGAAGTGTTTCTTCAGCCCACAATAGAAAGTCTTCTCTTGTGTTTTTCTTTCCTGACCACCTGTGGGATTATGTTGGAAAAGAGGAGGATTTCTCTGACCAGCAGCTCTGTGGACAGGAGAGGAAATCCAGTTTTGAACTAGAGGAACCAGAACCTCTACAGATGAAAGAAGAACAGCAGAAGACAGAACATCCCTGGACTAAAGAGGAAACATTGGAGCTCCCTATAAGTGAGCAAGAAGAGCAGCTTGTTCTGAAGAAGGAGCCTGAAGATAAAGGAGAGAAATATTTCCCATGTCCCAAAAAAGAACAATTAATGGTTCACATGAGGGCTCACACAGGTCAGAAGATTTATAAATGTCTGTGTTGTGGAAAAAGCTTCACTAAGAAATCTCATCTTGATTCACACATCAGAATTCACACAGGGGAGAAACCTTTTAAATGTATGTCCTGTGGAAAAAGCTTCACTAAGAAATCTGATCTTAAAAGACACATCAAAATTCACACAGGTGAGAAGCCCTTTTCCTGCACGATTTGTGGCAAAGGTGTTACTAAAAGAAGTCATTTGACTACTCACATGAGAATTCACACAGGTGAGAAGCCTTTTGAATGTCTGTCTTGTGGAAAAAGATTTACTCAGACTTCTGATCTCAATAAACACACCAGAATTCACACAGGGGAGAAGCCATTTTCCTGCACAATTTGTGGCAAAGGTTTTACTAAAAAAATTCATTTGACTACTCACATCAGAATTCACACAGGTGAGAAGCCTTTTGAATGCATGTCCTGTGGAAAAAGCTTCACTAAGAAATCTGATCTTGAAAGACACATCAAAATTCACACAGGTGAGAAACCTTTTTCCTGTACAATTTGTAACAAGAATTTTATTTTAAAAAGTAGTTTAACTATCCACATGAGAATTCACACAGGTGAGAAGCCTTTTGAATGTCTGTCTTGTGGAAAAAGATTCACTCAGACATCTGATCTTAATAGACACATCAGAATTCACACAGGGGAGAAGCCCTTTTCCTGCACGATTTGTGGCAAAGGTGTTACTAAAAGATGTCATTTGACTACTCACATGAGAATTCACACAGGTGAGAAGCCTTTTGAATGTCTGTCTTGTGGAAAAAGATTTACTCAGACATCTGATCTTGATAAACACACCAGAATTCACACAGGGGAGAAGCCATTTTCCTGCACAATTTGTGGCAAAGGTTTTACTAAAAAAATTCATTTGACTACTCACATCAGAATTCACACAGGTGAGAAGCCTTTTGAATGCATGTCCTGTGGAAAAAGCTTCACTAAGAAATCTGATCTTGAAAGACATATCAAAATTCACACAGGTGAGAAACCTTTTTCCTGTACAATTTGTAACAAGAATTTTACTGTAAAACGTAGTTTAACTACTCACGTGAAAATTCACACAGATGAGAAGCCTTTTGAATGTCTGTCTTGTGGAAAAAGATTCACTCAGACATCTGATCTTAATAAACACACCAGAATTCACACCTTGGAGAAGCCATTTTCCTGCACGATTTGTGGCAAAGGTGTTACTAAAAGAAGTCATTTGACTAGACACATGAGAATTCACACGGGTGAGAAGCCTTTTGAATGTCTGTCTTGTGGAAAAAGATTCACTAAGACATCTGATCTTAATAAACACACCAGAATTCACACAGGGGAGAAGTCATTTGACTACTCACATCAGAATTCACACAGGTGAGAAACCTTTTTCCTGTACAATTTGTAACAAGAATTTTACTGTAAAAAGTAATTTAACTACTCACATGAGAATTCACACAGGTGAGAAGCCTTGAATGTCTGTCTTGTGGAAAAAGATTCAACTCTAAGTCTAAACTCAAATATCACCGCCAAATTCATTGATAAGAATCCAAAAGTCAATTGAGTAGACACATGGGCATTCACACAGGTGAAAAGCCATACTCCTGAATGATTTGTGACAAATGTTTTAAACGAGAAGGTAATTTGAATTTTCAGATGATATTTATTTATGGATAATGTGGAATGATTTATATTTTTGAATAAACATTTGTTTCACTTAAGTCACAGGAATGGAGAGACAGCAAGTTCAATTCGTGGCAGTGGCAAAGTTGTGACAGTTCCGTTGGCTTGTTGTGACAGTTCCGGTGTATTGTTGGCCTGACACGGCTTTAGTACTGGCTGGCACAGCGTGTTACTGGCAGCAGCCACTAGACTGAGAGTCTGCTACATCAGCTCCACGATTACTGACACTTTTTTGGTTGCTACAGAAGCCGTTTTTAAGCAAAGTACCTCTAAGTAGATTGTTGCTTTAATATTGTGATGATACTGCTTAAAAATCTGTATTTAAGTCACATTTACTTAATGTAACGAAGTAGTTTATCTGCAAATAAATGGCATCTGCTGGCACCGGCCACTACGCACCCACTCCGGTGGCAGTCTCTGCCAGCACCGGCCACCATCGGCCACTACGCAGCCACTCCGGTGGCAGTCTCTGCCGGCACCGGCCACCATCGGCCACCGGAGTGGCTGCGTAGTGTCATAGTGGCAGATGAACTACTTTTTTTTTTTTTTTTTTTTTCCTTGCTGTTTTTAGGCAAATAGCTTATTTATTCATCTACTTTTTTAAGTTTTATTATTTTTTTTTGCCGTTGTTTGGCAAATTATTTATTTATAGTAGCTATAGTACCTCTAAGCAAATACTATTGTGATGTTTATTGCTTATTAAACTGCATTAAAATTTTCATAAAGCCACATAGTAGTTCATCTGCCAATAAGTGGCCAGTGGCACTGCCACTTTTTGCCATTAGGTGTCCTTGGCCACTTCTATCTAAAAAACTGTTTTTAAACCTTTTAAAGTTTCACATGTGTGAAACCTTTAATGAAGTGACTGCATTTACTTTGGAATGGCATTACACACACTGCTGTTGTGTTACACAGAATTCTTAGTTAATATGACATACATTGCCATTCTGAAAGCACCTGGCCATGAAGGTGTCAGAGAACACTGGAAGATGACATAATTCCACAGGATATTTGAGGTGAAAATGATGTCAGGTCGTAATAGTTGTAACTAAATTCTTAAGGTTTAGTTATCAGTATCCTCCTCCTTAACTGTATCTAAGATGTGGAGAGGCAACAGCCATGAAGATTTATGGTTACTTGTAATTTTTGTTATTTACAGAGTTTATTCCAATCTGGCAAAAACACATTGATTTTTTTTTCATCCAGAATGTACACACAGAACTTTTCATAGTCCGCCTTCTTTTCAAAAACTAAAGTGAAATCCTCCGCTGGAGAATATTCATCTTGTCATCCCATGTCTTTGAAACCAAGACGGTGCCTGTAAAACTGGGAGATGATCGAGCAGCCTACTGGCAGGAAAGCCAAACTGCCGCCATAGTGGCAGCGTAGTGGCCGCTGCCAGCAGAGACTGCCACCATAGTGGCAGCATAGTGGCAGATGAACTACTTCATTCCATCAAGTAATTGAGACTTTATAAAAGTTTTAATGCAGGTTATTAAGCAATAACATCACAATATTAAAACAACAATCTACTAAGAGGTACTATAAATGGGTAATTTGCCTAAAAACAGCTTCTACAGCAGCCGAAACGGTGTCAGTAAACGGTGTGAGTCTAGTGGCTGCTGCCAGTAATACGCCGTGCCAGCCAGTACTAAAGCCGTGTCAGGCCGACAAGCCACCGGAACTGTCACAACGCTGCCACGAATTGAGCTCGGCCCTGCTGCATTTTTCATGTTTGACTGGTAATAAAATGACCATATAGAAACTCCTTTGCCTCATTACCTATATTCTTTTTTGAGCAAAGTTTTGACAAGGCCATTAATTAACTGCTCTTTTAACATAGAAACAAGAACAGATATGTTGTTATATTGTAAACCTGGTCAAATTTTGTTTTTGAGACTAAGAAACTTTTAGATGAACGATAAACTACCGGTTGGATATATTCCAGAAACAGACCTTTATCCAGATGAAAATATCCTCAGATAAATAAAAATGAAGGTAGAACACATTTTATGTACTTTACTCAGTTTTTTTAAGAGGTCAGCTGCAACTGATCAGAATTTTGCTAATTATGTTTCTTGCTGGCTCCCATTAGCAATGCATCAATCAGCGCTGCTATGTGTGATTTTGAAGCCAGGCCCACCAAAACTCAAACATAATTTGGCACAGTGTTAGAGCTATGGTCACTGGATATTAGAATTAATAAAGCATCTATAGAGGAGTCTCAGATGAAGATTTGGGACATATATACCGTAAATCTTCTAATATAGGACGGGGCCTTTATTTCACTCAGGTACATCTTGGTCCAGGGCATTATTGGAAGGAGGCCAGAATTAGAGGCAGGCCTTTATTTCTATTTGATAAAAACAGACTACCAGTGGAATGAATAAAAACAAGATTGTATGTCTCTTTGAACCTATAAAATACTAGGTTCATTTATTGAAAAAGTACAATTACCATGACGGTATGCAGAACATTATTCAGAGATCTTCCAGCAGCTGCAATTTTTCTGCATGGCAATGCGAAAAAAAAAACAAACAAAAAAACACACAGAATGGAATCTTGGCCAAACTGACTTGCGAAACAAGGTTTTAAAAAAACTTAATGGAAACTCTTATGCCATAACAGCGACATTTTATTTGAGGCAGGCTAAGTGGAAGTAGGCTACCAGTATCATATATTTCAAGGGAAATTCAGAACAACGAAGGCCAATGAAATTCTGTCATTTTAACGCTGCCTGGTTACCTCCAGACCTACCAGTAATCACACGTGTCTTTCAGATCAGAACGATTGTGTAAGGCCACTACGATCTCTGTGTAAGGATGGGACTTCCCATTCTAATGGCTTGGATTCGTTAACAAACATTGTCCCCCTGTGGTACTTGTATGTTACTATCCCAAGTTGTTGAGAACTGCCCAGGAACATCGTTGGTTGTAATTATAGCCCCGGCCTGTATAAGAGTCCGGCCATTATTTACCTCCGCCGACAGCGAGACCGGCCATTATTAGAGACCTGGCTGCTAATGGAATACAGGCCAATATTAGAGGATTTACTGTAAGTGTGTGTCTGTCTCAGATTTAGTCAGCTACAAGCTAATTGATTAGATTTGATTAGATTAGATGAGCTTTATTGATCTCACAGCAGAGAAATTCTCGTCACATATTGGCATAGAAGTTAAAGAAGGTGCAAACAAGGAGGAAAAAGGTGCATTAAGAATAAAAAAGGAAGAAAAAGGTGCATTAAGAATAAAAAAGGTGCATTAAGAATAACTAATAATAAAGTAGCTCAAGCCACCTTGAGAGGGGGTGCTCTGGATTATGGGGTTAAACTACGGGACATCAAAGAACTCAGTTTAGAGGCTGGAGTCTGTAGTTCAGGTAAATTAAAGTCCTTAAATAATGAAACATGTTTGTTTAAAAAGATAAACACGATTAATGTTGTTGCTCTTATTTCTTACTGATCAGTTTTGACCTGCTTTAACTTGGTAAAAAGCTTTTGTCTTAATAATGTATTAAAGGGGTCATAGAATGATTCTATAGGGTATTTGGTGCTGGTCCTTAAGGTCTCTGAATAGGGTGTGTAACATTGGTTGGGCTGAAAATGGCATATTTGCTATTCTATGAGCCCTAATGCAAGCCTGGTTATGAGCCCTAGAGTGAAACAACAGGTTTTCTTCCTTTTATGGTATGATCATGAGTATTTGGATAAGCTGTGTGCTGATTGGTTGGTTTACAACAAGTGAAGCTGCTGAGCAAAGACTCATCAAAGCAAAAAGCACTCACTGAAAAATCAAATTGTTGATATGACGACTACAGTGCAGCATGTAGTTGAAAACACACCGGGCACTCGAACAGAGCCGTGAGTTTCAGTCCAATCCAGTTCACTGACTGGACCGCCCTAAATCTGGTCACCATAGATGTTCTAGCATTGCTATCAACAGCTTAGCAACAAAATAATACTTGCAGCTTGCAGTTGTGATGGCCTTGCGGTCGGAACAACCCCTGGCTTCAGTAAAAGAAGTTCAGCAAGTCCTGCTTTAACTGTCCAAGATTTTGAAAGCTGTCTTCTGTAAAATGCTTCGAGCAAATGAACAGCTGAGCATCAGACTTTGCAGGGATATTCTAATACACAAAAATACTCCATGCCTGTCGAGTCTTCTGATCCTTGGGAAGACTGTTCCCCTTTCTCTGTGCAGCCTGGATCACTGCGTTTACACCCGTGGTTCTGGCTCATTTTCAATAGAGAAACTGCCTGCTTTGTAATTCTTGTAGAACCCAACTGTAGGCTAAACAGCTAAACTGGTGTCTTACATCTTCCTCTATTCATGTTCTTGGGCCATGAACCAGTGGGCTGGTCTGTATGTCAATTTCAGGGGCATAACAAAAGTACAGACCACAACCAAATAAGGCAACATCCCTAAACTGATGTCAATTCGGTGCTTCGTTTGGATTCACTCATTTTATTGTGGAAGTTTAGAATTGTGAGATTTGCAGAGAAAGGAGGTGTTGATGGGGTTTGAACTTCTCTGTACTTCCATTTTACCCACTGATCGTTATTTATCTATGACAATGGAAACTCGGTTTTGCATTCTATGACTCCTTTAAATAAATCTGACACTCCTGTAGAAGTGTGAAGTTTCAGCTTTTTAAAGATTTTTCTTTTAACTTATTCTGATAGTGTTGTTCTTGATTCTGTAGATGTTCTATTTACCTGTTATGACCGAAAGTAACTATTTCCTATTTTATACAACTGATTTTATGTGTTATATTCTGCTGTGGATGTTTTTATTATTATTTATTGTAATCACTTCAAAATTGATGAAACAGCAGCAATAAAAACCCCATGGATTGTAAAAATTGTGCTTCTTTATATGGTTTATATAAAATAGAAATTATCTTTTTCCGTGTTTTCTCTGATATTTTAAGACAAGCTGAAGGTCTAAAATAAAGAGTTTAATGACATTCACCTTGTGCTTTTTCCTGTCTTTCCTGTCCCTGTTCTTCTGTCAGCATGAATCTTTTTCGTCTTTAAGAGCCTGAGTGTGTTGAAATCTGACCATTGGATAAACCTTCCTTTGCTTGTTAAATCCTCCAAGCTGCTTAAACACATCAGAGCTCCAACTACAGATTACTCTAGTGAGCCAACAGAACTGATAAAAACTCCTGGATAGGTGTAGAAACAGCTCCCAAGAAACTGAGCCACAGTTCTTCCTAGCAGAGGGTTGCAAATCTTCCGCTGCATGTTTAAAAAGCGGGCTGCATGGAGATGTGGTTTGTTGCGCTGTTGCTTTGCAGCTAGAAGGTTCTTGGTTCGATTCGCGTTCCAGGGTCTTTCTGCATGGAGTTTGCATGTTCTCCTTATGAATGGTAGGGTTCTCTAAGCAGAGACTGCAGTTGCTTAGGGGCTCCCGGACTCTTAGTTGCCCCATCACTGAGACCTGGTAGGCCCCCTACACAACTGTGGACTAGAATGTCTCTTTGCAGATGTAATGGTGCAAAAAAATCCTATTAAACCCACCTGATACTGAAGAAACTGACCACACTGGACCTTATCTATACCCCAACACATGGCAGATTTCAACATGATGGTGAGCCGTTTAAACACGACACCAATAGCAAAGCAGACAGTGGTACTTTTAATTACTATGTATTATTGTGTATAGTTCATTAGTCGATTGGTAAAAAAAATACACATATGTTTCAAACCGCAATAAAGATCTTAAAAGAACGATGTATTTGAGTATTTTATTTTTTACACTACAACTTGGAGTTATGCGTAACCCATAGTGTCCATTAAAACCATAACCGTTAAGTACAATGTGTTAGGAACGATGGATACCAAAAAGCGGTACTTAAGCCGATTCCAGAAAAGAAAAAGCAAAAAAGAGCTGCTGGAAGAACGGAAAAAACTTCCCCAAAATAAACATTTTCTTTCAAAGAACCAAAGAGGAAGAGGTGGGCGTTGCTTCTACAGTGAGTAAAGATTGCAACCAGAAGATGAATGGAGAGAGCGTGGGTGTGAAGCTGATAGGACTAATTTTACAGCAGAATATACTAAAGTATATCCATGTCTAGTGAAGGTAAAGAATGCTGAGAAGATGGATAAATGTTTTAAAGCACTGATAAAAAATTGGGCAATAGTAGAGAATGAACCTTTTTTTTTAAATGAAAAATAAGCCATTCAATATATTTTGAATGCATAGGGTATTGGTTTATTTAGTATGATTTATCAAAAGAAAACTGCAACAAAGTAAATTAATGTTACATCTACTTGATTCTATAATAGAAAATAATAGTGATATAAAATTTACTTACAACTTCCATTGTGGAAAAATAAGTTAAAGGCACACTATGCAACATTTTTCAGTTAATTAATGTGTTCCATAACCTTTTGGATGATTAAATGAGTCATTTCAGGTTGAACAAAGGTATTCTGGGCCGCCCTGGTGGTCTGTGGGGGAAATACCGCACTTGCAATTGCAGGAGCCCTCGGCCCGCACCCACAGGCTCAGAAGTCTCGCGAGAGTCGGTCTTGCTTTACGACGAGAACTGCTACACGCCCCCAGTTAAAAGCATGCTCGTTGCTAGCACAGTGGCGATCTTTGTGCAGTTATGCTACGTTCACACCGGATGCAGCAAAAGCAGCAAAATCGCGTCTGCTGCTTCATTTTTGCTGCTTGTACGAGTTAGTTCTGACGCGCGGCTGAAGCAGCTTTGCTGCTCTGGCTGCGCGGTGCAAAAGTATGTCTGACGCGCGTTGGGCGGAGCTTCACTGTCCTTTCTCTGCCTTGCAGCTATATTTGCTGTGATCAGTGGGAATAAAGTAGTTTTAATATGTGAGAAAATACACCTGAAAACGTAATTAGTGCAGTCAGTTCATTCAGATTACAATCCTGCCTCCCAATGTTATTTCTGTCGGAGCCGCTCAGACATCCACATACCAGCGGCGCGCCGACAGTAGGAATCCCTTCATCAGCAGCCTCTGGCCGGGTCGCCTCCTCGGGGTTCACCGCGGCAGCTGGTAGGTGTTTTTCATCGAAATAATCCAAACTGCAGGCAGCAGGATAATAAAAGCCAACATATTCTGCCGGCAGATTTCTGCATTTTAAGTTAATTTAGGCGTCAATAAACTGTTTAAGAGTAGTCATCATAGCGCTCTGATCATCAGCGCTGTGTCTCTCTCCCTGCCAGCTCCCAGATCAGCTTCTCTGATTGGTTGACGCGGCGCGTCGAGCAGCAAAAATTAAATTTTTCCATCTCGAGCAGCAGCGCGTTTGCGGCGCGTCATATGCGTCAGATGCTTAAACGCGCCCCATGCGCTGCGCCTGCTGCTCAAAACGCGCCGCGGGACCTTTTGCTGCGCCTTGACGCGCGTCAACCATTGACTTGGCATGTAAACTCGCTACTTCTGTCGCGCCAGCTGCGTCCAGTGTGAACGCAGCATTAGTCATTCGTTGCGTTCGCCTGTCTGCTAAGCTCAAAACAACCGTGTCTGGCTTGACGGAGAAACCAGGAGAACAGCTGTGCATATTTACGACAATGCACTT